TGTGTGTGTGTGTGTGTGTGTGTGTGTGTGTGTGTGTGTGTGTGTGTAAATCTCAAACTGCTATCTTTCCTCTCCTTCCCAGCCTGGCCGCACTGCGGTGGCCATTCCCGACCCCCACCCGGAGGGGAAAGTGTGTTGTGTGGCACTAGCTGCCATGCGGAAAAGGGGAAGCTACTGGTGTTTTGGAGAGTAAGCAATAGGGCCAGTAACTGTTCCGTCCCTTCGCTCCCCCGCTCTTTGTACGTACACACACACACACACGGACAGGCACGTCCATGCACTCACACCTTGCGTTAGTATTTATAATGTATCGATGTATTTCTCCATAGATGCTGCTAAAATCACGCTGGATTTCAACACCGCTCATAACAAAGTGCTGTTATCAGACAGAAACACCAAGATGTCGGTCTCTGAAATACCCCAGAAGTATAGCCCCCACCCTCAGCGCTTCACCTACTGTTCCCAAGTGCTGGGCTTCCAGTGCTTCAAGAGGGGCATCCACTACTGGGAAGTGGAACTGCAACGGAACAACTTCTGCGGCATCGGCATCTGCTACGGGAGCATGGACAGGCAAGGGGCGGATAGCCGCCTGGGGAGGAACAGCAGCTCCTGGTGCATTGAGTGGTTTAATTCGAAAATTTCAGCCTGGCATAATGATCTTGAAAAATGTCTGCCCAACACCAAGGCCACCAAGATTGGTGTGCTGCTCAATTACGAGGGAGGATTCGTTATTTTCCTGGGTGTTGGCGAGAAACATAACTTGATCTACAAATTTAAAGCGCAGTTCACTGAAGCGCTGTATCCTGCTTTCTGGGTGTTTTCCAGTGGCACTATGCTTTCGCTCTGCCAGCTGAAATAATAGGCTGTCACACCTGAATCTGGTTGCTCAGGGTATTTACATCTGCTCGAGCCCTCTCTCTCTCTTTCCGGGATTCACTATTTTCCGGGATTCACTATTGTAGTTCTAGCTTGCTCATTTAATTCAAAGCACATATGTTCTTGCTTTAGCTTGCTGGATGGCTTTTTCTAGTGGCTCTCTGCTTATCCAAAACCACTAGACTGCAGTCCTGCAAGTACTGGAAAGTTACTGGTTAGAAAAGCAAGATCTACAGACTGGATTTAGTGCTCTAGTTTGACACATGAAGAAAGGTGGCGTTTACTGCACATGCATGTAAAGGAGAGCGAGAACTTTTCTCCGTCTCTAAAAAGATTTTACCTGTGAATATTTCCAGTTTTATAACTTAAAAAAAGAAGGTCACAGAGGGCAGAACAGGAATTCTATTTTTAAACCTACTAAATTGTAATAAATAATTTAAGGCACTTGGTTTTTATAGCAATATTAAAGAGGAAATCCCAAATACGCCAGGAGGCAACAGCTCCACTGTTCCTCTTTCTACAGAGGGAGACAAAGATTTTTGCTACACAATGCATCAACTGAATCTTGGGTCAAGTAGCACCAATATTTTTCTGTTTGGGCAGGAGGTTTAACTGGCTGTCGCATGCAGTTTGGGGGCTGGTGCGTCCCATTCTTCCCATCTGAATTCCTAAATCCATAGGTGGAGCACTGATGACCATGAAAACACTCTGAGGTGTTTTCCCTGTAATCACTAGATAGCAAAGATAGTTCAAGCAAAAGTCTTTAAAAGAACCCGGTTTCTTCTTTTACAAGAGAAATGATGACCATATGACACAATCAAATGATTTTCATGGCTAAACATAAGGGTCAGATTCAATTACCATCGATGTCAGTGGGAGTTTGATTCTGTCCCGAATGTAGGAATTTTTTTTTCTGAAAAAGCCCAGCATTGTCTCCCTCTCTTGCTCAATCCCATTACTGGTTCTAGAGATTGATTTTTTTTTTTTTTTTTTTTTTTGTCTGATTTCCTGTTGCTCAGGCAGTAGTCTATAGGCAAGAGACCAGCCTTGCACAGGTATCGGAGGCCTTTAGAAATGGTTAAACCTATGGAAGATACTTCCTACACATGGTTTGTCTAACACTATTGCCGATGGGTGTGGGTTGAATTAAATAAATACAAGTCTTTAGCACTGGATGGTAAAAGCCAACGTGGGGTAGCATATTGGAATAGCAGACCAGAAACTTCTAAAGGAGACGAGCAAGTGACAGTGTTATACCCAAGAACCATGTATCGAAGCCAAGTGTCTTCAGAAAGAAGCCCTGCAGAAATTCCTCTGTAGTAGCTAGGGTTAAGAAGTGACTGATTTATCATTGGCGTATCTGAATTGTCTTAAAGAAAGATTTGATGGGATGGAACAACACAAATTCTGAACATTTGCGGGGTATTAAAGATCGGAAAGGTGAGCAGCACCACAAAATGCTCCTGCTGTAGAGATCAAGGTGCTTTTCAACCCCACCATTTAGAAAAAACAGCCCTGTTTGAAATGAACAGAATTTACCTAAAAAACCTAGATGTGGTTTTTTTAATCTAAAGGCTCTATTTGCTATGCCTCTTGGAATGAAGCATCCAGTCTCACATAACGTATCCAGGTGCTCTACTTCTTTACGTTATAAAGTTCTGCAATACCTCCTTACATTTTGAGGAGTTGTGGGAAGAAGTGGAGAAAAACAGTACGTCTTGGGTTTGTCTAACAGCATTAATGTTGTGGTCACTCACTGCAGGGTCAGAGAAGTTTCTCTTCTGAAGTATGGCATTCCCGGAGTACCAAGTCTCTATGTGCCATTTGGCCATGATACTGAGTTCGGTACTGTGGCTTCCGAAAGTCTGAAAACTGCCTTCGTGCAAAATTGAAGCATCGTTCTGAGCGATGTGTCCTCTTTGGCATTGAATCTGCATGTGGGCTGGTGAATCTTCTAAACTAGCAACATGTTGGAAAGGATGATAGAAGGAGAATACGTTTCTGGCAATGCATTTTTTATTCTCCTAATGCATTGTTTTTACTTTACGTGCTGTGACATGGGTTTACTTTGGAACACGTACAGTAATTGCTTTGACTCCTTCCAGGCATTGAATGCGGTCTAGGAGACCTTTGCTGTAGTTCACAACTATAAAACCCTCTGAAACTGGAGAAACAACCAGGGGACGCAGCTAAAGGTTGGAGATCTGAATGTCTTGTGCCGATAAGTAGGAGTCATTGAGAGGCTTTCCTTGCTAGATCTCGGTGCTCAGACCAGTCCATAAAGAACTGTGAAGATGCTGAAATTGACCAAATACATTGACATGTAAAGCTCTTCATAATGGAACTTTGTATGCCCTGTGAAATACAATGCAAAGCCACTGCAGACACGGTAGGATTAGAGAGGGGGGAAAAGTATTCACAAGAGTTTTGGTGGCAGAATTTTACATGGGCTGAAGTTTCTGGAGTGCTTTAGCAAAGCAAAGTATTACAGCATTCCAGCCTGGATGTTTAACAGCATGTCAACTGTCTAGTCATTCAGAGACACCTGATGTCAAAAATATAGTAATATTCCTTTGGTCAAAAAGGGATTTAGTTAAGGAACTAGTGTGACCTCAGCGCTGGATCACAGTGGGGTTATTTGGAATAGCTGTGATCTTGAAATATAGAATGGGCCAGTTCATCTTTCCAAAACCAGTTCAGTAGGAAAGCAATCTGGAATGCAGGACAAAAGCACTAAAATAGCTTAGAGATCAGGAGCTGGTCAGAGACAGGAACTCACTGACTGTGTAGAACTCCTCCAAGGAAGGAACATAGACAACATGAGTGTGAACAACGAGGAAGAAACCAGTGCAGTGCTGGACAAAGTTGGAAACCGAGTAATTGACAGGACAAAGACAGAGTTTATGGTGGTATCCAGTGTGACTGCCAAGAAGAAAAAGATGCTTTGATGGGACAAAAGACCCTTAACGTTGTATGGCCCATCAAGAACACACAAAGGGGGGAATAATTGGAAAGTGGGTCTCGCTGCTTTCCATGTGCTGGGTTCCTCCACCTCCTCACTAAGGTGATCTCAGTCTTGTTGAAATATTCAGGAGCTCTGGGGTCTTATTCCCCGTAATGAATCCTGCGTATTGCTCAGGAGAGCTTTGGATTTTTCCTCCATACGAAATGTGCAGTTGACACTTCCTTAAAGAGTCCTACCTTGTATTCATTGTAGGTGCTCCTTGGTCGCTCTCCCTCCTAAAGAGTTCTACTTTCTAGTGAGGAATTCTAGGATTTTTATGGGATCTGGGATCTTTTCCTTGTGTGAAGTCCTGCACAGATTTCAGGTGTTGTGGACTTTTATCCACACAAGCGTTTCTAGGTTTTACACGTGGTCTGGGAGGTACATGCTCTCCAATAAAGAGTTAACTAGTATTCAGGCATTTTGGATTCCCTTTCACATAAGGAATCCTACCAAGTTTTCTGATGTGCTGGAATGTTGTTCCCCACTGAAGAGTTTAAAATACTCCCTGCGGACAGTCCCTCTAAGGATGCCTGCTTTTGGATGCATGGGTCTTCTCTAGGCCTGTCTGCCCATCCTGCAGTGCACCAAAGCATTAGAGAGCCATTCTGGAGTAATCTTCTTGGAAAAGGTCGTGCTGTGCGGTAGCAACTTGCGTATCCCTGTGCTGCCCAGAGCTGTCAGCAGTGGGAGTCCAATTCTTGTTGTCCATGCTCTGACAGAGATCCAAAAAATGAAAACCACAGTTTGGGGATCATTTCTATGGGATGTGTGTCATGGATTAGCGGGGGTGGACAAACGGACAGTTGTATTGGTAACTTCTATTTTCAGGCTAGCTGCAAGACACGTGGTTGAGATGTCTAAACTGTTCTCAAATCGAATGAGAAACACTTAATTGGCTGCATTTGCAAGAAACTGTTTTGTTCACTTTTAAGTTATAGTGTTTAGTGCTTAGCTTGATATGCTTGGACTACATTAGATGGAATATCTGTTATAAAACAGTTGACGTTAGACGTAGCATAATAAAAATTTGATCAATTGTTTTCAATGCAATCTCAAGATGATGCAGCTAAAACCTCATAGGTAGGGTTTTTTCCTCTTCCAATAATGGTATAAAAATAGTATCTTTGTCATCAGTTTAAATACCGACAATAGATATAGTCATCCAGTGGATTACTTCTGTCCATAAGAAAAGTCCTTTTAAACTTAATTTTCTAGGAATTCAGTCTGGAAGAAAGGTGACCCAAAAAGCCAGAAGCATTTTGGGGAGGGAATGTGCAAAAATGTAATGAGTGGAGGGACACAAATATTCAAAATGTTTGTTTGAATCACTAGAGCATTCTTTCTGCAATTTCTCTGCATGTGAAATTTAACAAAAAATCTTGTTGCTAAGAAAAATGTGTCCAATTATAACAAGTTTTATTGAATGCATCTTTGATTAAAATTGTCTACAGTAACTAGGACAGTCCTGTGAGCCAATTGATACTTATTGTGCTCTTGCTTTTAACACTTATATGTAGTGATGCATCAATAACACCTACCGTCTGTCTCCTTAGGGAAGCCTGTAGCCATGTATTTGGGAGTTCTATCCTGTTGTTGGGACTGATGATGTACAAGCTGCATGATGTGCTGAATCTAATATCTGTCATGATCTTTTATTGATTCTGCAGCTGAGTGAAAGTTTTCTGAATTCAATAAAGTCGGCTTGTCATGAAATGACTTGTTTAGTGATTTAAACTGCAGAGATTGTGCTCCCTATAAATGCGGACTATATAGTCCACAAATAAACAGTACTTGGGGTGTCTTATAACTGATAAGTGATTGGAGTGTTGTGGGGAAGGGCGAGACAAACCATGTTGTACAATTTTTATAGAGAGCCTTTCTAAACAGAGCCTTTCTGAAATGCACCCACCTCTGGGCTGGGACACTAGCTGCTAAACAGCAGCACAACATCGTGGTTGAGGTGTAGACCATTATTGCACCCAGCGGAAGCTGCAGACAGAATTCAGTATAAGCAAAAAACTGGAGGAAAAGGGAGAGACAGCTGCGACTTGCCTCTGGTATAAAAACACACCACGGATTCTCTTTGCATACGTATTGCCTAAAAGATGGCTGCCCCAGCTGCCTGTAACTAATAATATTTATTTAATACATCTGTCATAATAAAGCCCAGAGACGCGGATTGGGCTGGAGGACCTTCTTTGCTACGTAAGCACTCGCCATGCAAAAGTCGATATAAGTGACTGAGGCGCACCCAGACAAACTAAGTGAATGTGACTCTTGGTGAGCACTGAGAGCGCCACCTCCGTGATGGGTATTAAGTGACCTGGATCTCTGTCCCTGGCTTACTTTTTCCTTTCCAGTGTCTCCTTGGGGTGACCTTGGGGGAAAAGATGGGGGGAGAGAAAGATCTATTTCTCCCTCAACGCCACCTCGCCTAAAAAGAAGACAATGGAGAAGTACCTTCTCCAGTGTCATTGTCCGGGAGCCTGCCTTGGGAGTGGGGGGAGGCTATTGGCTCCAGCGTTAAGAATAGTTCCTGGCTAGGGGGGAAAACGGATTCCCCACTTGCCGCCTGTGCACTGCCCTCCTCCAATGTCTCTTCCTCCTCACTCCGTGCAACTCCCCCCTTGCAGGTGTCCACAGACAGTGGTGGGGTAGTGGTGGTGTCACCCCCCCATAATTGCATGCAGCTCACGGTAGAAGCCAGAATGTATGGGGCTGTAACCCAGAGTGCCCGTTTGCCTCCCTGGTGTTTTGGTACGCTTGCCTGAGTGCCTTGATTTTTGTACGACACTGCTCTGTGTCCCTGGAGTAGCCTTTTCCTTCATGGCCCTGGAGACTTTAGCGTATGTATTTGTGTTCCTTTTTTTGGAATGTAGTTCTGCCGTAACAGATTCGTCTCCCCAACATGCAATGAGATCCAGTACCTCCCATTCGGACCATGCTGGAGCTCGTCTGTGAATCTATTGTGTGATCTCTTGTGATGGTGGGCTCTGCATGGTCGCATGTGATGGTGGACTGTGCTGATGGTGACCAAACAGGAAATGAAATTCAAAAGTTCCCGGGGCTTTTCCTGTCCACCTGGCTAGTGCATCGGAGTTGAGAGTGTTGTCCAGAGCCGTCACAAGGGAGCATTCTGGGATAGCTCCCGGAGGCCAATAACGTCGAATTGCGTCCACAATATCTTTAACCCGGGATTGCGATCTCAATTTAAGCGCTACTCCACTTGCCAAGGTGGAGTACAGAAATCGGATTAAAGAGCCCTTTAAATCGAAAAGACGGTTTGGTCGTGTTGACGGAATCATTTTTTTCGAATTAACTTGGCTAGTGTAGACCAGGCCTGAGTCAATGTCTAGTTTAAAAACTATTCCCCTGGGTTTTCCTTTTCACCAAAAAAAGAAATCTTCTCTTCTAATACAGGTTTTATCACCGGAGTAGCTGAGCTCCTAGTAGCACATTGAGAAACGCCTAACCTCTGTCGTGTGTGGGAGGGGGGAGTTCTCCCAGGGGGAGAACCGAGTGTGCAGTGGAGAGTTTGGTTTTTGCCTTAAGGTCTACCTTGTGGGGGTGCTCTCGCTCTCAGCTCAAAGAAGGGTGTCTCACGCTTGAAGGTGGTGAGGTTTGTGGTGGTCCTTGATTCCTGGGGGAGTTTGTTCCACTTTTCAGTTACATTGTTTTTAAAAGACAAAGCATGTAAAAGAAATCAGACTGGTGTACGTGAGAGTAGAGCCTGAGCCACTGTGCTACCTTAAGCAAGATACCTTTCTCTTCTGGCTGGTAGTAAGATGCCTAGATTCTCCTATGTCCAAGTGCACTGCTCTGTCCCCAATGTGCTGGGTATTAGTTTGTAACTTCTGTTCTGGGCAGTATGTTGACTTTATTTTATGAAGGTTCCTGGGGAAAAGGGACTCTAAAATGCTCTCCTCACTTGTGCATGCAGTGTCCATGTGGTTATATGCGTGACTAAAAGGCCAGGATTTGGCCAATGCTTCAAAAGGGAGACAAATACATATTTTGAACCTTCCTGAATAAGGTCTGCAACATTGGACCTATAGGCCATAGAAGAAAGTGAAGAGTATTGTGAAGTGATCATTATCCATGTGCATGTAATTTTGGGGGCTGGGAGGACACATAGCTATTATTAAATTCTAGGGCTGGATTCGGATCTCACTAATGCTGGTTTCACTCCACTGATTTCAATAAAGTTATTCCAGATTTAACACTAATGCAAATGAGGACAAATCAGATTGCAAACAATAGCCTGGGGAAGTGTGGATGGAAACACTTATCAAACCGTCAGTTTCCAAAGGTTTGTTTCCCTCCTCATAAGAAATAATTTTAGCCTTTCTACAACGTGCAGTGTTTACTTCTTCCTCTCTTGCTCTCTCTTCTTCCTCTCTCCCTTTCAATTGAGTGGCTGCAACTTCTCAAATAATCAATATGTCAGTTAAAAACATGTCCCGGTGTGGCCATTGTACCACTCCTATTCAAAGGCCATGTCATTTAGACTTTCATTGGCAGCTATTTTGTCCCATTAAAAAGTTCAAGACAGCAATTTGTGAATCTTGCTCAGCCAAGTAGAACTGTGAAAAAAGGAGTTATTTTAAAAGTCAATTAATTGTGGTCTATCGGAGCCCTCTTCATTCACGTTTTTTTCAAGCCTTGTCACTGGCTCACATCTGTCAGCCCTGTGTTTCCCAGGCTGCTATCAGATGCCGTTACATTGTAAATAATGGGTTTATTCAGGCCCTTTATTGGACTTTGTGTGGTAGACACATTTGTATATCATTTTACGGTGTAACAATTCCATTTACATAAAATATAGGCAATTATGGGAGCGAGGCCAAAGCATTGGGGGAGGGAGGGAGCAGCCACCATTCAAATAATAAAAGCTAATTGAAAAGAGGCAGATAATTTAGGTGAAAATGCCAACGTGAGCGATTCTTGATCCCAAAATGATTCAACAGAACTTTAGGCAAGAGACTTGGTTGGTGGTGTGCGCGTACATTAAACACTTGACATTTTCCCATTCATTAAAAGTTTGTATTTTTCAGTGAGTTATTGTCACATACTTCTCATTTCAAAAATCAAACGGTTTTAATGAAGGGAGACAGAGAGATCGTCCACAAAGTACAGCCATCTTTCAGCATTTGGGTGTAACTAGCTTGGTGGTATTACCTTTCCCAGGCTTAACCCTGCAAACCCAGACTTGTCCTTGTGATTGCAGTGGGACTACATGCATAAAGCCCTGTAAGTGGAAGGTAAAAACAGAAAACTTTTGCTAGATTATCCTGACTGCATTGAATAGACTGAAAATGACTAGAAGAGGTTGCAGATTTTTGGGTGGCATGGTACAGTTCCTGCAAAATATCCTTCCTTCTTCCTGTAAGCTTGTGATAATAATTCACCGTCACATGATCCTGTTATACAGGCATTTTAGCTGTCCTTAGCTAGAATTTCTAGATTAGATGGAGGGTATGTAACTTCTTGTTATATAACAGAGGGGGGCCATACTGACGTTGCTTGTGGCCTATCAAAAGATTTTTCCAAGTTTTACTTGCTTTGGTGATAAGGGGAACTGCTTGCTGAAGTGTCAATGAGATGATGTGCTGATAGCATAGCATAGGTGTCCCTACAGGATACAATTGATTCCATCTTAAAGTCTTGTTCCTACCCTGTGTAGGGTGCATTAATCTGAAGTATGTGGTGGCTTTTTTTTTTTATATACAGAGGCACAGAATTAATAAATTTCTCTTATCTACTTTGATACCAAGGTCATCACTATAGTATTTTAAGTGCATTTTTCCCTAAAAAGTTTTGAATGGTCTGATTCAGCTCCCTTGTACTCAGTGGAAGTTTTGACATTGACTTCAGTGGAATGAGAATTGGGGTGGGGGGAAGAGGGAGAAATAAAAATACTTATTAAACCGTTGTTGTCTTCTGAGTTTGAACGTGCCAAAGTCTCAGGCCAGAATGAACTTGTATGAGCAGATTTTAAAACCCAGCACCTAAGAGTTCCGAATGAAAATGCTGAGAGAGTGTTAATGAGAAGTAATTATTACAGTAGAAGCATTTTAGCTCTTCTAGGCCTCACTTGGGGTGAGATGAAGATCCTGAATTTGGCAAATTCTGCAAGGTTTGTAGCCTTGTCACATTTCGCCCCGTTCAGCTGTAGAACTTGAAAATGCTGCGTTGAGGTGGGGAAAGTTGATGCATGGAGAAGTCAAGGGCCAGATTTTAAAGGGACCTACCTCCCACTGATTAACTTGAGTCACTGGCAGAGCTAAGAATAAAATTCAGGTCTCCGAACTCTTTGCCTTGGGCTCTATCCATTGGACCATATTGCCTTTTCACTGGTGGCATTAAACAGCCAGAAAATGATAGATATCAAAGGTACTAAATGGGCATCTCTTGAAGTATCCGGGTGTTAGTTACTATGCAAATAGTGCTGTTCTCCTTTCCCTCTAGCTGAGAGACACATTGACAACCTTGAGCTGCGGTCTAAAAAGTACCAGAGCTTAAGTGGTTTGTTCTAAAAGACAAATTTAGAAGTGTAGAAAGTGGGAGTTAGTTAAACCTGTGAGGAAATGAGTAAATCTGTATTCATGTAACTGATCACAATCCCCTGCAACTGAAATGTTAAAAATCGACTGTGTTTTGAAACGGTGTGTGAAAAGGTCCGGCTGGCATTAGAAAAAGACCGCCTACTCTCT